CGGGGATACACACGATTTGTGTGTCGTTTGTTTGGGAGTGGAGCATGCACGGTCAGCTTTCGAGCAGCTGATTGTCATCACTGCGAGTTACTCTCGCTGCGTATGCTCCGCTCTCGCCTGGCTGTGTTTGATGAGAGCTGCCAGGCTTGCGATCCCGCTGGCACCAGTCTCCGCTGTTGCCGAGGCACAGCGCAGACTGTTGTCGTGGGGATCGCGGGGGGATTTAGTGGAGGGATCCGAGGCGGTTTCGTCTTCGTGATTATGGAGTGTGTTTCGTGCAGTCGCCAAAACAAAATACCATTTGGCCAACCTAGAAACAGGACGCTCGTCCTAAAAATAATTAGATGAGCGTTTTCTGAATCCAGATCACAGCCTTCACGACGGGGGCCTTCCGTTTTCCACGGCTAAATGGTCTCACCATTGTCAGGTCCCTGAGGGCAGCCCACCTGTGGAGGAAAGGATAACACCTCAGTATACGGTGCCCAATCCTCCTCAGTGCCCTCACGGAGGCTTATTGATACCCCTGCCACCCTCTGTGCTTCAGGGCTCAGTGAGCTCCGACGAGTGAAATTCCCAACTGCCGCCCGGCAACGGTAGGGCACAGGAGAGCTCGCCCCCTCAAGTGAGGGTGCTACAGCAGTCAGGTCGGTTGTTCCTTCAGTGCCCTCATGGAGGTTCATTGATCCCCCTGCCCCCTCGGTGCTTCAGGGCTCAGTGAGCTCCGACGAGTGAAATTCCCAACTGCCGCCCGGCAACGGTAGGGCACAGGAGAGCTCGCCCCCTCAAGTGAGGGTGCTACAGCAGTCAGGTCGGTTGTTCCTTCAGTGCCCTCATGGAGGTTCATTGATCCCCCTGCCCCCTCGGTGCTTCAGGGCTCAGTGAGCTCCGACGAGCGAAATTCCCAGCTACTGCCCGGCAACGGTACGGCTTGGTAGAGCTCGCCCCCTCAAGTGAGGGTGCTACAGCAGTCAGGTCGGTCGTTCCCTGCCGGTCATCCGCTTCAGGGCACCGAACTGGCTCCTCTAATAATACCAGACGCCAGCCTCGAGAGGCTGGTTCCCTTAGTAGATTTTCTGGTAGCATGGAAACTTCTACCAAATATCTCAAAATGGTTCCTGCAGATTGTAGAGAAAGGTTACAGAATCCAGTTCGGTTCTCGTCCGCCTCGTTTCAACGGGGTCATCTCCACACTAGTGGGCCCCGAGCAGTCTGTGATAATGGAACAAGAAGTAGATACTCTCTTGAGGAAGGGGGCCATAGAACGTGTTCCTCCTCTCGAGAGAGCGTCCGGGTTCTACAGCCGTCCCCTTATACAAGCTGGCGCGCCAGATCCTTCTGTGGGCTCAGGGGAAACTCCTCTCTCTAAGAGCAGTTTATATCCCTGGGTATCTAAATCAGGGGGCAGATATCCTGTCGAGACAGGGGCTGAGGCCCGGGGGATGGAGGCTCCACCCCAAGGTGGTGGAGCTCATTTGGAGAGAATTTCGTCAGGCGGAAGTGGATCTATTTGCATCGGAGGAATCGACACACTGTCCGCTCTGGTTCTCCCTCACGCATCCAGCTCCACTGGGGCTTGATGCCATGGTGCAGACGTGGCCGAGGTTTCGTCTGTACGCTTTTCCCTCGATCGCTCTGCTCCCGGGAGTTCTGGAGAGGGTACGCTGGTATGGGGTCCATCTGTTGCTAGTAGCCCCGTTTTGGCCAGCCCGCGTATGGTTCTCGGACTTGGTGTCCCTCCTCGACGGCTCTCCGCTGGAGATTCCGATCAGGAGGGACCTCCTCTCTCAGGTGGGAGACGCCATTCTTCACCCCTGCCCGGAGTTATGGAAGCTGTGGGCATGGCCCCTGAGGGGGCACAGCTCCTAGCATCTGGTCTCTCAACTGAGGTTGTTGAGACTATATTCCAGTCCAGAGTTCCCGCCACTAGGAAACAGTACGCCTTGAAGTGGAAACTTTTCGCTTCATGGTGCGGACAGCGACTGCAGGACCCAGTCAACTGTCTTCGGCGACCAAGCAGACTATGAGTAGGTGGGTGGTCGAGGCTATCTCACTAGCTTACGAGTCCCCTGGCCTCCCGTCGCCTATGGGGGCCAGAGCGCACTCGACCAGGAGTATGGCGGCCTCCAAGGCTTTCAACTTGGGTTTGGCCTTGCAGGACATTTGTGCTGCGGCGGGCTGGTCCTCTCCGCACACTTTTGTCCGTTTTTACAACCTAGACCCGGCATCTACCCCAGGTTCCCAAGTTCTCTCTTCGTGATGTGCTCGCAAGATACAC